ATGCACCAGGCCCTGGGTTCAACCCCCAACCACAAAAACCAGTTTAAAAGAAAAACTATATCATATAAATTAAAAAGTCAGAGAGTCCTTCAAGACTAACAGTTAAAAAGAGACGTCCCCTGTACCCATGTCAGTCCCCAATTTTCATTCTCCATAGATAAGCTTTTCTGGGGGACCTTACCTCCACAGAGCTAAATTATATTTACATATTGCTATTTCTCTTGGGTTTTTTCTTTTGATATTAGAGGCTTTGTTTGCTTTTATTTTTTTATTTTTTATTTTTTGGTACGGGGGATCAAACTCAGGACCTTGCGCTTCTGAGGCAGGCAGCGGAACCACTGAGCTAAATCCCTGGCCCATGCTTTTAATTTTTAAATATTTTTTTATTTTGAGACAGGGTCTTGATTAAGTCTCCAAATTGCCCAGGTTGGTCTTGAATTTGTGACCCTCTTGCCTCAGCCTCCCAGAGTACTGGAATTATAGAGCCAGCCACCACTTCCGGCTCAGAGAGAACTCTTCTGGCTTGTGAGGTGGAGCAGAGGCCCGGCTACAGCTCTCGGGGAGCCACTTGGGCGAGTGCTGGGGTATCACTGCTGCGTCATTACCGTGTTACTTCATTCACAGTGAAGGTAGAACGTGACTTCTCTCCCTCGCCTCCCCGCCAAACCGCGGCAGCTCAGCCCTCCTGCTCAAACCCCGGCGCTGCCCGACTTCCTTAAGGGAGCCCTTGCCGCTCTGCTTAGCTACACTGGGCTAAGCATCATGCTCCTGTTTGCTGTACCGTGTCTCTGGCTGGGCCAGAGCTGCTTTTCAAGGATGAGGATGAACTGTGAGACAAAGAGGGAAGCTGGGAATAGGACCGTGCAGAGGAAGGAACTGCATGTATCTGGGCTAGCAGTCTGGGAAAGCGCAGGCGGAGTGGCCTGGAGGGAGGAGTAGGATCTGTATGGAAGGGCGTGGCCCAGCGGGAGGTTCCCCTGGCTTTTTCCCAGGGTCTGGCTGGTGGTGGGAGAGCAAGATACTTTGGAGGCCAGGTAGTAAGCCCAACCGTGACATGGACTCTGCTGAGAGCAGGGGGAGCAGAGGTGAGATTACCAAAGTCTGACCAGTGCAGGAAGGTCCTTAGTGACCTTCAGAAGCTTTGTGTTGGGTAGGAGGCACTAAGCAATCATGTAACCTAAAGTATATCATGGATGGAGTGGAGCTAACCCAGTGTAGTGGGCTAAATGGGATCTGATGTATGCAGGCTGGGTGGGCCCACGGGTGGCCCCACCCACCCTGGCTCTTTTCTGCCTTCTATCCTCTGCCATACTAGAAACTGAGCACTCATGGTTAGCCAAGCTGGCCTGGCCCGCACCCCATATCTGACTCCCACCAACCTTGGGCTTCCTTTTCCCAGTAGGACCTAGGAGTATTGGCCTGGCAGGGTTCTCCTGTGGATTTTAAGAGTCTCCTCCAGCTGGGCCCAGCTATGACCTCCTAAGACCGCTCCCAGAGGAAGTTGGCTGCTGGGAACAGAACCACTGTGCATGCACCCTGGTCTCCCCTTTGGGGTCCATTGCCCAGGCTCCACAATTGGTCACCCTGCCTCTTTAGAATCCCCTGCAGTAACCAACTCCTGCCCTATCTGCAAAGCCCTTCTCAGCCTGGCCTTGGAAATGACCTCATGCAGGAGGTAGGGCCTGAGTCCTGGGAGCTGAGCTGTCTGTGGCAGCACCGCTGGCCAGAGGCAGATAGCTGTGCCCTGACCTGGGACTTCTGTCCTGCTGTGGATGGACTAGCCTGGAAGTGAGAGGCTGAGAATGGAGGACAAGGACATGGAAGCTGGGGCCCGGAGGCCTTGGAGCTGACCCAGTATAGACCTCTTATAGATGGGAAAGCTGAGGGAAGAAAAAGGTAGAAGCAGCATGGCAGAAGGGCATAGTGGAGAAAAGCTGCTCCCTTCATGGTGGCCAGGGAGCTGAGCGAGAGGAGGAGCCGGGGGAGAGAACACAGCCTTAGCGACCACCTCTAACCAGGGCCCACCTCCCAACAGTGGCTCAGCTCCGAACTCATCAGTGACAACCCCGCTGAGCAGCACGGCGCCCCATGGCCCAACCGCCTTCCACACGTGAGACTTTGGGGGACATTTTCAATCTAAATCTTCACACCGCCCTTAGCAAGGGAATCTGAGGCCCGGAGTGGGGCAGGGCTTTATCTGGTCACAGAGCAGAGGGCCGGATCAGCTCAGCCAGCCCTGTTTCCATGTTTCCGCTCCTCTGATGACTAATTAGAGAAAATTAAACAAACAAGCTTTAACTGCCTGTCAGTGACAGATGCCAGGGCTGCCATAAACCTGGCTGGATGCAGAGCGCCTGCCCGGGCTGGGGGCCTAGGGAGTCTGAGCTGGCTGGGGAGCTGGACCCCCCCAGCCCCCATGGCCACCAGCAGCCAAGCCACTCCTCACTTGCCAAGCAGGGTGCCCAATGCCAGAGCAGACTGGGCACAGGCCCAGGACGCCTCCAGAAACAGGTCCCACGAGAGCCTGAGGCCCCTCCCTCCCGGACTTTGAATGTATGCTTTGCCCACTGCCAGGATAGGGCTGGCTTCTAACTTACAAGGGCCCCATGTCCACTCCAGCCTCATCCTAGCCCTTCCTGTTGGCCCCCAGGAGTGGGGGAGCCAAGGCTCACTCTGCACAGTTGTCATCATCTTCCAGGCAGCCCAGAGGACACAGTCACCCGGCAGGGAGAAGAGGTTCAAAGACCTCTGCTCCCAGACACAGCCCCTGAGGGGTGGCTCCTTGTCCACACTGCCGGACACCCACCCGCCAGTGCTCACACAGGGCTGCAAGCGGCCTCCTGACTCCCCAGGCTCCAGGGGGATGTGGGTGGTGGCTGGAGTGGGGCAGTAGGGTGATGGATGGAGGGGTGAATGACGCTATAGGGTGGGTGGTGCATTAGTCAGCTTTCCATTGCTGGACTGGACAACCACAACTTAGAAGAGGAGAGGTTTACTTTGGCTCCTGGTTTTGGAGGTTTCAGTCCATGGTCAGCTGGTTCCAAGGCAGAAACATCTCTCAAGCCAATCAAGATTAACCATTATGGGTGGATAAAGGAAGGGGGATGGAGGAATGGGGGGATGAGTAGGTGGACAATGGGACCCTGCTTGTCTTGGTCTTTGCCCTTCCCATAGGGGGTGTCTTTATCAGCCCAGGACTCTGGCCCCCGGGGACCTATGGAGTGGCAGGGCCTGGTTAATGGGCCCTATGGAACTGGTCTCTTGGGGACCCAGCTGCTTTGTCAGAGGCCTCCCCAGGCATCAGCGTCCATGGGTTTCTCCTCGTTGGCAGGTCCCGGAGCTCCCCCAGCTGCAGGACAGCCCATGGCTCCCACCTCCCCACCCTCCCATGTTTTCTGGGCCTGGGGCTGGGGCCCCATTGTTTGCATCTTCCTGTGAGTTACTGGCATCACCTTCTGCTGGGGCCTCCCTTCGGCCTTCCTCTCGGCTCTGTGGGCTTCACCTTGCACTATCTTCACCTCCCATGCCTGAGAGACACCGGAGGGAAACAGAGGGAAACGTGTGCTCAGACCCGCACGTCACTGCTGGCCACCTCACTCCAACTGCTGGTCTTTTGCTAGGTCCTGCCCGGGCCCAGCGTTAGACCACTGTGTACATTCTTCAAGTGATTCACGCCCTGAGTGTCTGGGCTCAATCTTTAATCTGTTTTCTGCATCGGGGTTGCTGACAAGCTTTTATGGAGGGGAAAGAGAGTTCTATTCCTAAAAAATGTTACAAACCACTATAAACCACTAACTTGGCGCAGCCCCGGGTAAAGTAACCAGAAGGGTGGGCAGCAGAAGATGGGCATTGTCATCTCTGTTCCTCCATGGCGGGCAGCCCCGATGTCTATTCTCATAGTCCTTCCAGGTCCCCTCACCATCCCTTCACCTCTCCTGGAGGAGTCACTGTGTCCAAGCAGGGACATCAGCAGGGTGGGCTGCATTCAGTGATAGAGGGGAGCCCCCCAGGGACCCGTGGACAGGACGGTGCTGGAGAGAGCTCAGCAGCTGGAATCCAGAGCTCCCGCGGGCCACACGGAGAGCCATCGAGTCACCCACATTCCTCCGGGTGCCTGCGAATCTGTTTAGCCAGAACAGGGCTTCCAGGGTGGGGAGGTCGGGCTCTGAGCCGAGCCGGGAAAAAGAGGAATGGATGAGTCCCTCAATGTCCAGGGCAATAAAAGCTCTTTCCAGCAGCTTTAAAGCATGTGCTCACAAAAGTGCTCCAGGTCTGGGGAGTTGACATAAACAGACAACTGAGAGCCCGAGAAGACAGGGCCCAGGGGTCACGGAGAATGCGCTCCTAGCTGGTGTCCAGGCCCAGTCCCTCTGCCTGCTCCCACCCAGGCCTCAAAGCTGCCGGGGTGAGCCCTTCAGAGTGCAAATCCGACCTCCGCTTTCACCTGTCTGCTGGCTGCAGACTCTGCCCGCTTTCCCTGCCCCTGGAGGCCTCAGCCCGTGTTCAGTGCAGCCCTCGAGCTTCCCTTAGATGCCACCACCTCCAGGACATCCTCGCTTACTGCATCCGCCTCCGCCATGTTCCCATAGGTTTCTGGCACAGCCCTTATGACCTGTGCCATCTGCTCTGCTCCTTCCCAGATGTGGTTCTCAGTCAGGAATGTCATCTCACTTACCCTTCCTTCATCCATTCTCAGATATTTTTTGAGTCCCCACTTTGTGCTAAGCGCTGAGACTCATGGGTGGACAGAAGACAGACAGTCTCCACCCCAGTCCCTGGCATGAAGTTGACCCCTTGCTGCACAGACAGACAGTGCAGTGTGCTCTGTGCATTCGGAACGGAGACTCAGACACCCAGCAGGCTGCGTGGAAGAGGGGCCTTGAGGATAAGGCCCTGGAGGATGGATAGGAGTTTTCAAGGCCAAGTCATTTCAACACCCCTGCCTGGCTGCCCTCACCCCAGGCTCCATGCTGGCCTCACTCGACCCCCTTTTCTTTCAGAATGCATGAACTGCTCCCGGCTCACAGACATGAGCGAGCGGCTGACCACGCTGGAGGCCAAGGTCAGGCAGGCTGGGGAGCCCGCCGGGGAGCTGGCTGGGGAGGGGTGCAGGGACATTGGACACGTGTTGGGAGACTGTGCCAAGCCCGAGTCCCTCCTGACCCCGGTCCCCCACCCACCCACCAACCCAGCTGCTCCGGTGGCCGCAGAGCAAGTGTTGGGTGGAGTCACAGGTGCCTGCAGGCCTGTGGGGTCAAGGGGGTAGCTAAAGGGGCCGGGGCGGGCAGGCCTGGGTGGGGTGTGAGCTGGGAAGGGACTGGGGAAGGGCCTGGTTCCCTGGAAGGAGGAGCACCTGGTGATGCGATGAGTCTCAGGGAGCGCTGGGGAGGGGGCCAGGGCTGGGACCTCCTGACAGCAAGAGCCCCGAGAGCTGGCCCTATGGCACTGTGTCCCCACCAGGAGAACTCACAGAGCAGGATGCACACGCACACGCACACACACAGAGCCCCGGATGACCCTGTGCTGCCCTTTGGCCCTGTCTTCTTCCCACGCGTGGGGCTGGGGTGACCCTGGTGTGGCTGGGCTGCTGCCTCCTCCTCAGCAGAGCAGCCTGAGTGCAGAACCATTGGGGACCTCAGGGAGGAGGGTGGGACCCAGCTAGGGAAATGGCCGAGGGCTGAGCAGTAGCGAGGGTCAGTGCTGTTGTCTGACAGATAAGAACACAGGTGTGGGGGGATCCTGGGCACAGCCTCCCATGGCCTCCAGTCCCTCTGCAGATGACGGGACTGTCAGGTGGGGTGCAGGGAAGATGGGGTGAACTTGGCACTGGGGTAGAGATTGACGAGGCAGCTTGAGTCCGGGGGAGCAGAGGTGGCACAGGAGGAGGAGCCCGACTCACAGTGCAGTCCCCCTTTCCACAGTCACCATTCCCAGGTCAGGGCTGTGAGACTCCCCTGACCACTGTGTCCCATCCGGGTCACCTTCCAGCCGAGTCTGTTCCATGCCCTCATGAGCCCTGGAGGGACAGGGTCCCAGGGGGCCTTGTGGGCCAGGTCAGAGGCCCCAGAGGCCAAGAGAGGGAGGGGCCGCAGCAGCCTCATGGGTGGTGCCCAGGCCAGGAGAGCCTGCAGGGGTCAGAACAGGAGCTGGGGTCAGAAGTCAGGGGTGAGGGGTCAGGGGTCAGGTGGGTGAAGGCAGAGCCAGGCAGGCAGACCCCATCCGGCAGGGAGCCGGCAATCAGGCAGCAGCCAAGAGAGCTGGAGATTGAGGCTTCTGCTGCCTCCGACAGGACACCAGCTTGGGTGCATCCAGAAGAATTCAAGTGATGGAAACCCCGCCAGTGGTAGCTTATTCCACGAGGATGCTTGTGTGATTAACAAGAAGCATGCAAGTAGGTGGCCTCAGGACTGCCTCAGTGCCTCAAGAACCCAGGCTCTTCACAGCCTTCCTTTCTGCCTCTTCAGTGAATTGGCTTTTGTCCTCATGCTTGGTGCCTCACGGTTATAAAGTGGATGCTGCAGCTCAAGGCATCACCTCTTCACACTGTGTTCAGCAGTCAAAGGCAGGAAGTGGAGAGTGAGGCAAAATACCCCAGTAGCCTAATTTGGTCTCATGGGCCAGTGCTTATCTATATGACCGCCTCCAAGTTGCAAGGGAACTGGAGAATTAGGGACCTGACCCGGGACTGCTGCTACCCTCTTGTCCCAGGATGGGCTGGTGGGCAGAGGTCACAGGGCACCAGGATGTTTCCTGCCTTCCCCCCTTGGCCTCAGTTTATGATGACTTCATGGATCACTGCATTGGGCAGGACTGAAGGGACTTCCCCGGGTGAAGGTCACAGACTTCTCAGAGTTGGGTTGGTCTTTTTCGGGAAGGAGGGCGGGTGGTGGCCTGGACAGTGCTCAGGACGCAGTGACATCACCAGAGCTCAGCCTCCAAGGCCACAATCTGCTTTCCTTGGGCCCAGTCCGGGCGCCCCTGCTCTGCCCTGGTAGCTCAGAAGCTGGGCAGCCTGGACTCCAAGGGGGCTGACTCTGATGTGGCCCTGTCGGGGCGGGGAGGGAGCAAGCCAGGCCTTTCTCCTCCCTGCACCAGGGCCGCTTCCTGGAGGAGGGTCTGAGGGTCGCAGACCCAGTCCCTAGCTGCTGTTCTGCTCAGTGACTCCATGATGCAGCTGAGCCGTAGGTGGGACAGCCTGGTTTGGTGACGAGGGGCCGCACAGTCACTGGGTGACCCTGGACAAGTCACTCGCAGTCGCAGCCCTGCCTCCACCTCAGGGGGGATGTGGCCCAGTGACCTTCTGTCTGCTGGGCCCCTGAGGACCAGAGGGAGGGACACAGACAGTGGCTGCGCTGGGGGTGGGAGGACAGCGTGATGTGGCTCACCCTGTGCCTGTGCACCCCGGAAACTCTGTCCAGTCCCTGCTTGAGCGCTGTGACTGCAACTGTTTATCCCCGTGAACCTCCAGCCGCAGCACCCGGGTCCCCAGCACCAGGGCTGCTGCCTGCACCTGCCTGTGTCCATCCCGGGCTCGCAGCGCCCCCTTCCGGCGTCCTCGGGAGCAGCAGGGACTCCAGCCCCCGCTGCCTGAGAAACTTCAATGAAGGGAGAGAAAATTTAAACCTAGGGGAGTCTCCGGCCCAGGCAGGCTGTGACTCTGGTCTCCCTCCAGGAGAAGGACCGGCTGGCTCCAGGCCCGGCCTGAGGAATGCGACCACTTTGTGTTTTCCTGGGGAGTCCTGGGAACCATGTACCCAGCCCAGCCTGTTTATGCTTTCCCTCTCTCCCTCCTTCCTGCTTGCCTGCCTACCTTCCTTCCCTCCCTCCTTCTGTCCTTCCTTTCTTTGTTTCTTTATTTTCTCCCCTCTCTCTTCTTCTCTCCCATCCATCCATCCATCCATCCAGCCATCCAGCCACAAACATTTCCTAACCAAGGAAGGAGTTGTGTCCTGAACCGGGCAGAGCGGGGACCGCCCGTCCCTCCCTTAGGGAGCGGGATGTGAAGGGACAGCAGGGCTGTTGTGCAGTCACAGTCATGGTGATAGGTGCGGAAGGTGCTCCTAGGAGTGAGGGGCTCTCCCAGTGGGGACAAGGGGAGGGAGAGCATCCGCGGCGGGAGCGCTGGTGGAGGGGAAGTGACAGGGCTGTGGGGTGCACTGCCCTGCATATGTGAGTCCTCGCTCCAGCCAGGACCTCGCCTTCTACCCTTCTCTGGCCAGGTGCACCTGTTAGAGGCAGCCGAGCAGCCGTCGGGCCCTGACAACGACCTGCCAGCACCCCAGAGCACACCGCCACCCTGGAACGAGGACTTCCTCCCTGACGCCATCCCCCTGGCCCATCCGGGACCCCGGAGGAGGAGGCCCACGGGTCCAGCTGGTGAGCCGAGCGGGGCGGGAAGGGTGTGGTGCGGCCTCCTGGGGCCTCCACAGAGAGCTCTGCCCTAGGGCTAATGTTCAAAAATTGGGAAGTTCATGTAAAAATCAGGATTTCTAATTTCTCTTTGAAAGATCTGGCAGGAGGGCTGGCAGTGATTGGCTGTCACTATGAGGTATAATCATTTTTGAAAAATGAATTACAAAAATAGACACGTTGCATTGAGTCCCCTCCTGGCTTCGACACACTTATCCCACCCTCCTTGTCCCTTTCTGAAGCAGCTCTGGAAGTCCTCATTCATAAGTATCTTTAGTTGTGCTATTGTGGCTACTTCAGTCTCCTGAATCAATTCAAAATGTTCCCCTGTCATGGTCATTTTGACTTTGGAGAAGAGATAAAAGTCACACAGTGCTAGACCTGGTGAATAAGGTGGGTGAGGACACACACTAATGTTTTTCCAAGTCTGTCTTTCTGTTGGATGGCGCTTGGCAGCAGCATTCATCATGTTTTTAATCACACCTCATAGAGACCCTCACGAAAGAGGACTTCCAGAACTGCTTCAGAAAGTGGCAACAACAGTGGGATAAGTGTGCTTGAAGTAAGAGGGAGGATTTTGAGGGGGATTTGTGGCAATGTGTCTTTTAATAAACTTTTAAATTTAAACATTCACTGCATATTCAGATCACACGCTGTAAGTCACAGTGGCCGTTGCAGATCCGGTTCAAGCTCAGCAGTCTGCTGCAGTCCCCATTGCTCTTTACTGTGGGACAGTCCAGTCCTCAGCTCTGTCCTGCCCCTCGGCGGCTGTCCTGCCCCCCCCGCCCCCCCAACACCCTTGCTCAGTTCCACCTTGCAGCAGCCCCTACGGGTGCACCCCAGAACTCTGAGCTTACAGACACACCCCTACCCCTGTTTCTGGGCCATCCTCACCGAATTCTCATCCAGAGAAGGAGGACACCTGGCTCCTTGTCTTCTTGCAACATTTTAAAGGCAAGAGTGGAAATGTTCTCTGTCAGGCAGGCATGGTGCCATCCCATAATCCCAGAACTCTGAAAGGCTGAGATGGGAGGATTGCAAGTTCAAGCCCAGCCTGGATAACTTAGAGACTTAGTAAGACCCTGTCTCAGAATGAAAAATCATAAAAAGGCCTTGGGATGTAGCTCAGTGTGAAGGCCTTGGGTTCAATCCCCATATTGAAAAAAAAAAAAAAAGCCAAAAACATCAGCAAGTTTTACCCTGGTCTGGGCTCTGTCCCTGGGTGCTGCAGGGGCAACGAGGCTGAGAGAAGCTAGGTAACTTCTCTAGGGTCACCAGCGAGCTGGAGGCATCTTGCCCTGATGATCGTCAGCCCCCCTGGAGCCCCATGGGGAGATACACCCTGTTCGCCCCCTGTTCGGCTCTGAGCATGCACGCCAGTCCCCCACCTCCACCGTCCTGTCTGTGTGTAGGAATTTGTTCCTGGGTTCTGGAGAGGGACCAGGGCAGGAGGGAAGATCCCCAGCAGAGCAGGGCAGTGGCCTCAGGAGCCACTTCCGGGCCCAGGGGCAAAGAAGCAGGTGTCTGAAGGCTGTGGCAGGAGGAGTGGGGCTCAGGCCTGCTACGGGGAGCCTGGGGACATCTCACTCTGGCTCCTTAGCCCATCCCTCAAGCCGCTGTCCTCAAGATCTCACCCTAGAGAGCAACCATTTCTTCACAGCTTTCTTCAGGGCCTGAGGAGGTGAGAGGCTGGGAGCGCAGCTGGGCCTCCTGGTCAGACCATTTTTACCAAGGAGCATGCAGTTCCAGCGATGGCCACCAGATAGAGATCACATTCCACAAATGGTGCCGCCTGGACATCCTCCTGGCTGCCCCTGGGCTCCCTGAAGCCAGCTGCCCCCAGAAGAGCCCTTCCTTCCAGAACCCCAAGTCACACACAGCCTGAGCAGGTCCCTCCACCTCCTCAGCAAACCGAGAGGGAGAAGGGGCAGTCCCCGGCCCAGAGAGGGACATTTCCATCTCCTCTGTCTGCAGTTGTGCAGAGGCCTCCGAGAAGATGTAATGGGAGGCCCCTGCCACGTGCCCAGAGCATGACCCTGAGCAGGGAGACAGCAGAGGGAGGGACCTGGGATGAAAAAACCTGACCTTCATCCTGGCTCTGTGACCTTGAGCAAAGAGCCAAACCTTTCTGAGCCTCACTTTCCCCACCTGGAACACAGGAACAAGAGCAGTTCTTGGGATCATAGATGGGAATAGGATGAAGGTGGCCTGTCCACTGTGGTGACCGACACACCCAGGTCATGGTGGAGCTGGGGCCATTGGGCGAGGTTTCGGGTGGGCCCAGCATCTGGGGACAGGGACCCGATGGAAGTCAGGCCTGGAGCACAGGCCATCTGGGTCCACGGTGTTCTCAGCCCCATCCCTCTGTCTCCCCAGGGCCCCCAGGCCAGACAGGACCCCCAGGACCTGCAGGGCCACCAGGCTCCAAAGGGGACCGGGGCCAGATGGGAGAGAAGGGCCCAGTGGGGCCTCCGGGTAAGGACCCCAGCCCGACTCTGTCCCTGGAGGAAGGGACACCCCGATCTTCCTGGGGGTCCCAGTTCCTTCCCTCTCCCCCTCCCAGGTGCCCTGTCTCCCTTTGTGTGCAGCTCCTCATTCAGTGACTGCTCTTCTCCCTGTCACAGGGCTCCTGGGGCCACCAGGGCCCCGTGGACTTCCTGGAGAGATGGGGCACCCTGGCCCCCCAGGACCCCCTGGCCAAGCAGGCAGCCCAGGCCTCTCACCAAATGACCCTCAAGGCGTCCTCTACTCCCTGCAGCCACCCACGGACAAGGACAGTGAGTGTCGCACTGGGGCAGGGCAGGCTGAGCTGCCTTAGAGGGGGCAGCCTTCCCAGGGACCTGGGGAAGTGGGGATCTCACCAGTGAGGGCTCAGCTCAGGAGCAGGGCTTGCCTCCAGTGGGTGGGGGCCCCAGGGCCAGTGCTGCTCCTTACCCTGCTCCTGGCCCAAGGCAGTCGTCCCTACCTCTGGGCTCAAATCCCAGCCCCTGGGTCCTGCCCCAGTCCCCAGGCAGCTCTGCTTTCTGGCCTGACCCCCTTTCCCCCCTGGCGAGGCTGCCCTGCATCCCTGTTCTGTTGTCTCCTCCAGGGCCCCTCCCTATAGGTCGCTTGACAGGTGTTTACTGAGCACCTATTATGTGTTGGGAACAGGCATGAGAAAAATGGACAAACTTGGGCCCTCAGGGGCCACATCCTGCTCAAAGGGCCTCACAATTTGTGCAGAAACACCTGCTTCCCCATGGGGGTGGGGAGCAGGCACAGGGACTGTGGGTCCAGGACATTGAGGGCATGGCCAGCCAGAGGAGCTGGGTTTTAGCTGAGTTCCCAGCCCGCTGGGGAGTTCTAGAAGAGGGATCGGCTCGACTTGTGGGGACGAATGGGCAGTGGTCTCCCGGGCACTGTCACATGGGCCACCTTGTTGTCACCCAACCCCCACCTCTGCTCAGCTTCTGTTCCCCCAGGCAGCACATGTCTGGACCCCATGCCATCTCCCAGCCTCGGTTTCCTTTGCTGTAGAGGAAAGATGGCCATGTCCTCGAAGCCTCCAGCCAAAGCTTGCACCAGGAACAGGGCTCGCCCCAGCAGGGTGGGGTTCCAAATGCCATCTGTGGGTGCAGAGGCTGGGCAGATGGCAGGTGGCAGGGCTGGGGAGGGGCCAGACTAGGCCTCCTCCCGGGCAGTGGGCACAGGGAAGCCCTTGGGCAGGGACCGAGTAGAGTAGAAGTGCTTGTGAACCTTCGGTGGGCTCAAGAGTCAGTAGCTGCACCCTGAGCCCTGAGGCTCCAGTTGGGCCCTGTCTGCCCTGGCCTGGGTGTGACCCCCTGCACCTGGCACTGCCCAATACCACCCAGTGCCCGGAGGGTTGAGATGGGAGCACCTGGGAAGAATGTGAGTGCTGGACTGGCGGCCCTGGGGACCGCCCACCTGGCCAGACACCCACCTGGCAAGGGACTTGTGCCTCCGGTCCTGGTGTCCACCCAGGCCACCTGCCCATCCCATTTCTGGGCCCAGGTGCCCTGGTCTGGCTCTGGGCTCGGAAGAGGACCTCACATGGGACCCCAGAAGTCAGCTTGTGAGCTCTGCCGCTCAGCAGTGTGATCTCGGGAGTGGAGATGGCTCAGAGGGCGGGCAGGGGCTTCCTGGAGGAGGGCACATCAGGATGGGCACTAGGTGGGCCTGGAGGAGATCGCCAGCCCGAGACACAGGGAAGCCAGGGCCTGCTGTGCTCCCCAGCCTGGGCCTCCGTATGACCTTTGAGCTGTGGGAACCATTGTGCCCTGGGGCCTTGGGGCGCCTTGCTGACGCCCAGCCCAGGCTCCAGCTCTGCTCAGCCTCTCTTCCCGTAGATGGGGACTCCCAGCTGGGACCTGCTGTCGTGGACACTGTGCTCGCAGGAGTCCCTGGGCCGCGGGGCCCTCCCGGCCCCCCTGGTAAGTGGGTGACAGATCCCTCTCCTCTTCTCCTGGCCTTGGCCTGAGCTGACAGCCTGGGTCAGCCCAGCCCCTAGGTGGTTGGGTGGGATCGGTCTCCCCAGGGGCAGTGGCCTGTGGGGCAGGACACCGAGGGACTCGAGATGAGCAGCAGAAAAGGGAGCCCAGAGGAGGGGAGACCTGGGACTCAGTGTGGAGGGACCTGGCTCTAGGCCTGACCCCCTCTTCCCACAAACCCACTCTGGGTAAGGAGTGGGGCAGGGGCTGGTGGCCACTCACTCGGCCCTGTGTGCCCAGCTGCGTGCAGGTCACATCCCAGTAGAACCTCCAGTGCCCGGATCAAACTCCTGGTCACACACTCAATCTTGTGTGCAATCAACAAACATTCACTGCACAGTTACTGTGTGCTAGGCAGGGCTCATGTCCCCATGAGTTCAGGCTGGAGAGAGATGTTGGCTCTGTAACTAGACCGGGTTTCATCTGCGCCCTGCCCGGTGTCCTCTCTAAGCCTGGAGCGGCCCAGCCGCTTTGGTGCAGCGTAGCAGGCCTGTGCAGGCTGTGGGAACAGGGACCTTTGTGTTCCCCGCATGCCTGAAGTTGCTCGGGACTCCTCTCCCTGAGCAGGCACATGAGACCCAGCACCCCTGATAGGGGGACAGTCGTGGGCCCACAGGTCAAGGCCGGCGGCTGGTGCAGGTCAGAGATCCGTCTAGAGGAGGAGCTGACCTTCTATCGAGGTGTCCACTGGGAGAGCGGGGACATAGGAAGCTGGGGTATAGGGTTGGTGAAGGCACCAAAGCAGAGGAATCTGCAGGAGGGCGTCCGGGGGTTGGCGGAGACCGTGTGGAGCTCAGAGCCCCAGAGCCCAGGAGCCGTCTGTCTGGCGGGAGCTGTCTGTCTGGTGGGAGCCATCTGTCTGGCGTGTGTTTCTCAAAGGGCGCCTGGGGGGCAGCAGGCAGCGGGGGGGGCAGGGTGGGGAGTGGTCAGGAGTCTGGGCTAGCGACCGGGGCCTCGAGGGACTGGGCACAGGGCCCTGAGGTAAGCGTGGTGGGGAGACTTCACGGAGGACGCCTGCCCCGCTCCCCACCAGCCCCTGGGTCCTGGGACTGGGCACCTGGAGAAAGAGGCCTGGGGAGGAGGAGAGGCGACGGGGAGAGGGAGAGGGCATGGGGACAAAAAGAAGGGGCGGGGCATAGGAGGCGGGTGCATAGAAAAGGAGGGAGACACAGGAGGGGCAGGGACGCAGGCTTGGGGACACGTGCAGCTCTGGGTTGCAAGGCTGGCAAGGCTGGGGAGTGTGAAGCTTCCTGCTGTCCCCAGCAGTCCCTCAACAAACCTCTACTCCCTGCTGCAGGGCACAGGTGCTGGGGTGGGGAGGCTGGCAGTGTCCCCTCTGGAGATGACAGGGACGGTGGGCTTCTCTGGCCCAGGTGACCATTGGTGACTCTGCCCATAGGTCCCCCAGGACCACACGGTCCTCCAGGACCTCCAGGAGTCCCCGGATCCCAGGTAAGGATTTGGCCACTTCTTGTGCAGTGCAGGGGACAAGCTTGGGGACCATTGTGTCCTAGGAGGGGGAAGCCAGACCACTGTGGGCAAGAGGCACTTGGGAAAGCAGCCCATCCATCCATCCATGCACCTAGGGAAGGCAACGCAGGAGTCTTGTGCTGTTAACAGCTGCGACCCTTTGCCCCCTTCCTGAGAATCACCCATGGGGAGGGGTCAGCTGGAGCCGGGATGAGTGGTCCCAAACCCAGGTTGGCTCTGTCTCTCTAGCCGTTAGTTCAGATTGAGGCAGAGCAAGTGTAAAGGCCCTGAGGCAGGAAGCAGAGGGAAAGAGAAGATTGGGCAGGGACAAGAGAACCCTTCCAGGTCATGCCCAGGGATTGTTTCCTGCCTCTGGGACCCACCTCTAGATAGCCCATGCACCCATGAGTGTGGCATCCTTGTGAACTGGCCTTCAGCGCATGACCTTTGGGCACGTTTCAGATCCAAACCTAGGTGACACCTTCAAAAGCAGACCTGGCAGGCTGGTCGATGGCATCACTTTGGGGGAGGCAGGGAGAGTGGAGGTGCAGTGACGCCGGGTATCTGCCTGGGGCAGCCGGGAAGACCGTGGTGCCAGTTCCGGATGGCTGGGGTCCCGGGCCACCCTGGCGTGTGTGGGGGATGCTCTCTTTGTCAGCTGCACGCAGGGGCCTGGCCTCAGCACATGTGGCCATCAGCACGCCCACTGCTGTCATTGCTCCCGAGCCCGAGGCCAGCCGCCCCCTTATGTGGGTGACAGCACTGGGCCTTGCCCACCGTGCAGGTGACGGGGCCAGAAGCTGCTGCTGGGCCCGGGGTCACAGGCCAGATGCAGAGGGCCCCAGGGCCTGGCAGTCATGGGGTCTGACCTGCCCATCGCCTCCCCACTCTTCCCTCTCTTTCTCACACTGTGCCTGGGAACCCAGGACTTTCACACTGAGCTACATCCCCAGCCCTTGTTTTTGTTTATTTATTTATTTTTGGCACTGGGGATCGAACTCGGGACCTTGTGTGGCAGGCGCCGGAACCACTGAGCTAAATCCCCTGCCCTAAATTTTTTATTTCAAGACAGTCTCTTGCTAAGTTTCTGAGTTTCCCAAGCTGGGCTCAAACTTTGCATCCTCCTGCCCCAGCCTGCCTCAGCCTCCCTCAGTGCTGGGATTGCAGGTGTGCGCACCTCCACATCCAGCTATGGGTCCCAGTTGAGAGCCAGGGCTCCGAGTCCCTGAGGCAATGGCTTAGCCCTGAGCCCAGGCCCCCGCAGCCCCAGAAACTACCCAGGCCTCTCCCTGTGCCAGACCCAGCTTTTCTCCCCTCGGAGCAGGAGGCCCAGGGCCCAGCACCGTCCCAGGCCCTGCCTGTCCCCGAGGCCCTCCCGCCGGGGTCGGGGGGATGCTGCCCTCCACCAGGGGCTGACTACATGACTTGCTTCCTAGAGTGAGCCTGGCGTGATCTCAGAAGAAGAGGACAAAGCCGCTACTGCAGAGGTAACTTTACCTGTCATTTACCTTCCCGAGCGCCGTAGCGGGCAGGGGAGGGACACCCACAGACCTGCTCTGGCCCTTCAGCCAGCCCTGAGGTGTACGAGGTCTCACCTTAGAGGAGGTCCCAGCCCCTTGTGGCAACACCCAGCGGGTGCAGCTGTGACGTCAGGGCCCTGTGTTGCTGGGGTGACCAGGCCCGGGGGTGGAGCCAGGGACCCAGTGGGAAGTCACTGTCGTGAAGGAGAGCATGCACTGGGGACAAGGGAGCTTTGGACTGGGACCCTGAAGAGCAAGGCTGGAGCAAGTGGGGACCAGGACTTCTTTTTTATTTTATTTTATTTTATTGGTACATTTTAGGTGTACAATATAATGACATTCATCAGTGGAAATTTGCACCTTTACATAATCTCTCTTGGTTATTATTTTTCCCCTTCCCCTGCCCTCCCTTCAACCCCTCCAGCCCTCCCTGTTTACAGAGACTTTGTTTCCATTTTCTCCTATTAATTCCACTCCTTTCTTTCCTGTCCCCTACCCCTCCCACTTCCCCTTCCCCTTGACCGCTTTTCTTCCTAGTTCACATTATCTGTTACACCTTTTAGGGGGACCAGGGCTTCCGTGCTGGGGGGAGGAGGCAGCGGGGAGGGAGGTGAGAGGTGCTGAGTCCCAGCCACTTGCCAGGGGACCCTGAGAGGTCCCCATGACCCCTCCCTCAGCCCATTTCATAAGAACAACTTGGGGCTCAGAGACAGGAGGCTGAGCTGGGTACCTGACAGAGGGGCCTGGACCCCCTGCCCCCCACCCTGGTCTCCTCCCCTGACCTGGGGACACGGACATCCCTTAGCTCTTCACCACTGCTTCCTTTGCAAAGTGGCCTTGACCGCCGTCTTCTCAACACAAGGGAGCCCTGTCTCAGCCCCGTCGTGTGTCCCTGCGCACGAGGTCCTCTGCCCGTGTAGACAGTGGGTCCTGGAAATGTGGATGGCACCTGCCTCCTGCCAGCACTTCAGGAAGCCGCGGCTGTGTGCGTTCCCCCCGGCTGCTCAGCAGCGCTATGTGGCCGGTGCTTTCGGGTGGGGGTGTCCAGGCGGGAAGCGGGGCCCTGTGCTGGGTGCCCTGGCCTTGAGGGTATTTCCTAGAAGTGGCCCACATGAGGAAGCAGCCAGGCAGCCAGGCAGCCCGGCAGGATGATAAAGCCCCAGCTGTAGGCTGTCAGGTCCGGATTTGAAGCCTGGGTCGGCCACGTCCAGGCTGTGACGATAAAGGACTGCAGCCGCGGTCTCCAAGTGCTGGGGTTTCTTCTGTGGACAGAGCTGGGAGTCAGCCCGGCACAGTAAAGGCTCAGTCTGTGACTGGCAGCTGTTCGTAGTGATGACAGTGGCAGGTGGGAAGAGGCTGGGGGCGGCGAGCCAAGTCCACTGTATCCCGGTGGCCCTGACCCCGAACCCGACCCCGACCCCGACCCCGGGCCTTCCTCCCACCAGGGGGAGGGGGTACAGCAGCTTCGAGAGGCGCTGAAGATCCTGGCAGAGAGAGTCCTCATCCTGGAGCACATGATTGGCATCCACGGTGAGCAGCACGGCCCCTCCTCCTGCACCCTGCGACTGCATAGTGACTGCCTCAGGCCTCTGGGCTCCCAGCCATTGGCTGTCAGGGGGACTTTGCCAAACCCATAAGACCCTGTCCCTCCCCTGCTCAAGGACTCCCCATGGGGACCATCAGTGCATCCACCCCATCCCCAAGAGGCACCCCCAGCATCATGGGCCTAATGACAGACCACAGTGGTCACGGCAGCCCCCTCCCACCTTTGCCCCTGTGATCCAGCCAGTCCTCCCCCCTTCCATCATGGGTGGGGATCCACATCTCTTTCTGATGCAAGGAGAGCCCCTTCTGCTGGGAGTGCTGGTGCCTCTGTGTTTGTTAAAGAGTGGATGAATGACTGGGAACGTGGATGGATGGGTGAATGGTGGGGAATGAGTGGGTACATGATGACTAATTGCATGAATGAATGGATGAGTGAATGGCGGACAGATGGATGAATGGATGGGTGGATGAATGAATGGATGGATGACTGGATGGATGGGTGGATGAGCAAATGAAGAGCCCAAGCTAGCTGCTGTCTTGCTGTCCCCGCTGGACAAGGGCTTTCCCTCATACCCAGGTGCTGGGAGCAGAGGTACCCCAAGAGCCAAGACTGTTTCGAGCCCCTCTTCTTTCCTCCTTCCAGATCCTCTGGCCTCCCCTGAGGGGGGCTCTGGCCAGGATGCCGCCCTGAGAGCCAACCTCAAGATGAAGCGGGGTGGCGCCCAACCTGATGGTGCCCTGGCTGCCCTGGCTGCCTTGCTGAGTCCCGAGTCTGCGCAGAAGAGTGCCAGCCAGGCCAGCAGCAGAAAATGAGGGCCAGCTCTCCAGGACAAGCCCAGGCCCGGCAAAAGACCCTGCCTGGGCAGTGCTGCCACTGGACCTGGAGGAGGCCCAGCTTCAGGCTGGACAATTGTGAAGAATGCTGGCTCCTGGGCCTGGGGGTCCTTGGGGGCGGATGGAACTCCCAGGGCAGGGTTCCAAGGGGACTGGCACCCTCGGCAGAGCCCTTCCCTTACCCTGCCCAGCCCCCCTCCAGCCCCTGCTGGAGACGGAGTCTGGGTGGGCTGGGTGTCGGCTGAGAATAACCATAGTCCTCGTCATTTACTGAGTCCCCGCTGCATCTGGGCCCATCCAGGGAGCTTTCCTTATGTTGTCTCATTTAACCTGTAGGAGGTAGGCTTGTTCTCCCCACTTGATGCGGGGACCGGGGCTCAGAGGGCATAAATAACCCACCAAGGCCCCAGGGTCATGGATGCCCGGGCAGGATTTGAACCCTGGCCTCTTGGGTCCTGAAGCCCTGTTCCCTGAACACCACAGTTTCTTCCCCTTCATGAGGAAGCAGACAGGAGGGTGTAGGCAGGGGCACAGGAAGTGAGGTCAGCCTGGCATGGAACCTGCAGGGCCCTGGGCCTCCCTTAGGCTCCTCAGGTTGCAGAGGGGCTGGCCTGAAGCTGCTCTCTGAGCCCAGGGAGACCTGAATATACCACTGACTGTCACCTGCACTTGGGGACCAGGAGCTGGAGATGTGAAGGCCTCTGAACCCCACCGGCATTGCCCACCTCTCCCTCCCAGTCTCTCTGAGCCCATCCACAGCCCTGCCAAGCCCTTCCACCCACCAAGGCAGGAGGGCACATTACCGGGGCTGCCCATTGGTGGGGGACAAAGCCCCACTCCTCCCAGTCTCTATGGGAAATCTCTAGGGTCTGCCACTTCCAGAGGACACAGCACACTGGAGAGAGGGGAGCCTCCCAGGTCCCAGGCCTGCTGGGGGATGCTGCCCCCAGCCCTGAGAGCTGGGGTCCTGGCAGGATCCAGGGCAGAGGCCAGTGAGGTCCCAGTGGCCCAGAGCAGCTCAGACCACAGCCCTTGAGGCCTCTCAGTCCCCAGGTCCCTGTGATCTGCTCGGTCCCCATGTTCCTCTCTCACTGGGCCAGGACCCAGGACTCAGCGACCACATAAACTCAGAGACTAGAAGGTGCTGGCACCACCTGGTGGCTGTCTCCCCGCATGGCAGGAGTGGCCCAGATGCCCCTCCTGAGGCAGGTCTGCTCGTCCTCATCCTCGTAGAGGGACGCTGGAGGCCTGTAAGCTGGAGCCCTGTGACACTGTTCTTGTATCTGACAATAAAGGTGCTCTCCCTCCCAGCTGTGTCTCTTTATGGGAGGCTGGGCTGCGTCCTGCTGACCCAATGCCCAAGAGCCCTGGGCAGCTCCTGGGAGGCTGGGGTGACCACGAGGCCTTGGAGGCAGGTAGCCCGGGGGGAAGCAGGGAGGCCGAGAGGACCCCACAGAGGCCGTGCCCTAACAATGCTGTATCTGAGGCCTGGGGGGGGACTCAATTGGGGGATCCCTGGGCTCTGAGCAGGGAGACCCCCTAGCCTGCCAAAAGTTCCCCTCCCTGGGTCCCCAGGGAAGCCTGGGGACAGGCCTGAGCCCAGGGTGGCTGCTGAGTCACCCTGGGCCTTTGTGTGAGCAGAATGCTTGGTGTGTGCCCCGGAGCTTCTCCAAACCCAAGTCCATCCCCTTCTGGAGCTGAAAAGCCAGTACAGAAGGTGGACCTTAGACCAACCACACAGCTGATGGCATGGAGGAAGGGGACCATGGCCCACTCCAGGAACCTGGACCAGGGACTGAAGTAGGGGAAAGAGAGAGAGGAACAGGGAGAAACAGAGACAGAGATTGCCTGGGGCTTCTTCCTGCCTTTATTTGCTTATAGTGTTGGACTCCAGCCCTGCCCATGCCCCTGCTGCCCAGGGACTCCTGCCACATGGACCTAGCCCGGCTGGCCCAGCTCCCTCAGCCATCGGGAGACCCAGGGTGGGGCAGGTACTTGAAGCCAAACCTTGGCAAAGACAGCCAGGCAGGGAATGTGATGTGTTCTGCTGGAAAAGAGTCCTTACCCCTTATTCCTTTCCCAGAACAGGAGTTAATGTCAGTGCACATCCTTCCTCCCTTCTCATAATGCATCAGCACTAACACCTTTGCAGACCCAAGCCCTGGGGAACCTCAGTGAATGAAGTACAACGAATGAATAGATGGATGGATGGATGGATGGATGAATGAATGGGAATCTCAGCTCATATAGAGCTGGGAAGTGTGGAAAAGGGGTAGGGACTCAGGGAGCAGTGACTGGCTCTCCTGGATGTCACCTGCCAGTGCAGAACTCTGTGAGGTGACAATCCTGAAGTCAAAGCTGGCTTCTGAGTCCTAAAGGGGTATTTGCCATAGAAGAGGGTGTTTCACATAGCAAGTGAGCACAATGGTAACTTGTAAATACTTAGGCCCTGACCCTGGACCATGCAGTGGCCCCAGACAGCCCTGCATGGGGACTGTAGGTCCAGATGGTTCCAGACCCCAGCCTGGAACCACCAGGGGCCAAGGGCAGAAGCTCCCACCAGCAAGGTGGAGAAGCTAGACCTGAAGTGTGTCAGACAGTGCCGAAGGGGTAGGCAGGTGCTGTGGGACCTCAAGGAGGTTCCTGTACTCAAGAGGTGGGCTGAGGAACAGAGTCCCCCAGGGAGGTAGACATGAGCTCATCATCCTACTAGAGATGGGATCAGGCACTGTGCCACACAAGGTGACATGAATTGGCATCTCCTTCAACTTCACTGCCACCTGTCTCAGTGTGCAGTGAATCAGCTGAGCCCCAGGGAGGCTGACCAGCTTAGCCTGAGGTCACACAGCTGGGTGAGGAGCAGAGTAGGTTTGGGAGGGCTGGAAGGGTTTCTCATAGGACATGGAAGCTGCTGTCCAGTATGGGATTGAGGAAGACAACAATATTGGAGAGGAGGAAGCTACCCTGAGTGATGGGCAAAGCCTGGCCTCTCCTTCCATCTGGCTTGTAGATTTCTGAAATGCAAGCCTCCCTTCCTCACCAACCTGCTATGGCTCCCATGTTCCTGGCCTGGGCTCTATCACTTGGTGCTGTCATCGGGTCTTGGCTGGGAGCTTCCTCCTAGCCAGGCCTGACTCTGGGCAGCCTGTGGGTACTGCTCCCAGGCACAGGGAAGTGCCAGGTGCACACAGCAGATGGAGCAAGCAGGTGGAGAAGGGCCTGGCACATTCTGGCACTCACAACTCTGAAGGAGCCCAGCCCCGGGCCTCATGCGAACTCATCAGCACTTCACCTCCTCCGACCCCTGTGGCCAAAGGACAGGCTGGGCCCATCCCATCCTTGGTTCTGACCTGCACCAGGAAGGACCTTATGTGGGCACTGTGGACACCCCAGCACACCCTTCTGAGCTCACTCTGGCTTCAAGGCCCACTCCCGGCATGTGAAGAGAATCACCCAGAACCCTTGGCTGCGGTGCTGGGAGAGCAGGAGCCTGTAGACTCAGCCCAGGCCAGGGGAGCCCAGCCTGTGTTCTTCCCCTGGATTTCTCTCTGCCTTGGGCCTGCCACCAAAGAGGTTCATGAGGGAGAATGAGCCCAGGCCATGCACACCCCTCACTCCACCCCACCGTGCCCATGGTGTCCACCCAGACTCATCGCTGGCTCCTAGACAGCTTCCCACCCCCTTGGTGTGGGTCTTGCCTCTCCCTGGTGCTTCTGGCAAACACTTCCCTGGAGTCCACATAGAGCCACACTTTCCTCCCCAAACACCAGCTGACACCAGTCTCTGGTGTACGTGTGCACACATGAGCAAGAGCATATGTGCAAGAGTCTGTGTGCGTGTGTGCACAAGCATGTGAGCTCCAGAGTGAGTAGCGGGGAACTGGCTGACATCAGAACCACCTTCCCTTCTGGGCTCCTCCCCCAGGGCCTTGAGCTTGAGCTCAGTCGTGGTCCATGTTATTCCCCCAGTAGGGCCTTCCAGTCTGCGCAATGCTGTTGTCCGCATATCTGTCCAGCTAGGCCCAGGAAGGTTCAGGCTCAAGCTGGGCCTGACTTGGGAACCATCCTCTTCGGCATGTAGTGGGAGGTGCCGAGGGTCTCCTAGGTGGGACCCAGCTCCTTGGCCTGCAGCCAGTGATCCCTGCCCGTTCCACCATAGGCAGCCACCTGCCACAGCAGCTGGGCGACAGTGCAGGACGACAGCCATGCTGGCCCCCAGAGGTTCTCACCTGTATCCCCTCCCCCTGCGTGTCCTTGGCACGTCACAAAGACGCACAAGGTGAGCAGCCCAGCGCAGCCCTGGGTCCCAGCCAAGGGGGACCAAGGTGCTATCAGGATCCCCAGCTGCAGCTGGATCCAGAGGGGCCCTCTGCTCTGTGTCCCTGCTCAGCCGTGAGCACCTCATATGCAGGTCACATTCGTGTCCCCAGCTCCCAGCCTGGGGCCAGGTGTGGGGCTCTGAGTGTTGGGCCCCTGAGTAACAGGACATTAGCAATGGGGAGCAGCTCCTTCCCACACCCCAAGAGGCAGTGACCCTGGCGGTTGGCAGGGGGACCAAGGCCAACAGCGGCTGGATGGGCCAAGGCCCCTCCTTCCCCGAGGGCCAGCAACTCCACACCTGGAATTCCACCCTCCCGGGGTCCCTGCTGCCTCCCTCCCAGACCTGCTTTATGGATTATAAAAAGAGAATTTCATGAGGTTTTCAATTAATTGAATTCCAGGGAGATTTATTTACAATGTTATTAATAAAGTCTAATGTCACCTATAACTTTCAATTGCCAGTTAATTAACTTGCAATTGGTGCATTGTAAAAGGTGAATTAAATCCTTTTTGAAGGCAGGGGCTGGAGAAGTTAATGAACCTGTCAGTGTGACCCAAAGGAGACAGGTGAGCTCACAGGTCCTCCACCCCCAGTAGCTGAGCCTGTGCCCTGGGTGGGTGACACCGAGTACAAGGTGGTCACAGAGCCCTTTCTCCAGAGCCCAGGAACTTGGGCTTGATGCTGGGTTTTATTCCTAGAGAAACACAATAAAAGGCCCAGTCATGATAAATTTTGTGTCATCTTCATGGCCCGAGTAGCTGGATAATTTGATGGAGTATTATTCTGTGTGTGTCATGAGGGTGTGTCTGGCTGATATTCATATTTGAATCAGCCCCAGAGAGTACATGGTCCTTTCTAATGTGCATGGGCCTTGCCCAATCAGTTGAAGGCCTGGTGAGACTCAAAACCTAAATGAGTGTGAGCTCTTGCCTGACTGCTTGAGCTGGGACATCAGCTTTCGCTGGCCTTTGGACTCAGACAGACACGTGGTTCTTGGAGCTTGAGTCAGCTTTCAGACTGGAATTGACACCACAGGCCCTCCTGGCTCACCACCCAATTCCTTGTAAAAATATGTGTTTGTGCATGTGTGTGTGCACAATGCATGCGCACATGTGTGTATACATTCTGTTGGTTCCATTTCTCTGACCAATAGGCCCCGAGTGTGGCCCAGGATGAAGAGTCCTGGCTTTGACACTGCCAGCCACACCCTCTGCTGGCTCTCCTAGAGGAGCTTTCTCATCGCGTCCCACTCTGAAGGCTCCAGGGACCCTAGGCTTCCGGCTGCATCTCCCCAGTCTCTGCTGCGTCTTCTTTTCTATGTCTGTCCCCTTCTCTGTGTGCTCTGTGTGTCTTTTTTCTTTCTTTTTTTTGGTACCAGGGATTGAACTCGGGACCCTGCACTTGCAAGACAGGCGGCGGAACCCTGAGCTAAATCCCCAGCCCCTCAGTGTGTCTGATAAGGACACTTGCCCTCGGACATTGGGACCTCATCTCAAGACCCTTAGCCAAATGACATCCACATGAGGCCGCATTCTGGATGAGGTCCCATTCACGGGCAGGAGGGGTCAGTGCATGGAGTGTGTTTTGGACACAGCAATGACCTTGGACAAGCCATTTACCCTTTCTGGGCTCCCTTTTCCACCGAGTAAACTAAAGAGCCGCTCCATGAACCCAAAGGCCTCCTGGTGCCCACTCATTTGGCACTCATGCTCCCCGACAGAGCAAGTCCTACATCTAACAGCTCTACTCTGCAGGTGACCACCTGGGGGCACAGAGAGGTTCAGTGACTTGTCCAAGTTTGCAGAGCTACTAAGTGGCAGAGTCAGGATTTGAACCCAGGCCATCTACCCTGAAGCTTGCATTTGGTTTTTAAAAATTGAGCTAAACTTTACATACCATTCAATTTGCCCCTTTCAAATCACAGTTCAGTGCTTCTCAGTGTATTCAAAGGGCTGAGCAGCCACTGTGCTACAATGACCCGCAA